TGTATCTACAAGACAATTGAAAGGAATCATCACCACAGCACAGTTACTAGGTTTTCCCAAAAATACATCCTTTCTCTGTCATTGTATTAGGCCAAGGTGTTCTCTTCTGATAGCTGAAACTCTGGTTTCACCCGAGCAGCATTTGCACTGACCCAGATGAGTGAGCCAAGACAAGACTTGGGCTATGCAGTCACTGCCCGGTTTGATGAACGAGAGAATCAACAAGTTTCTGTCCTGTCCTGCCTTTCCAGTGCTGACCAAGAGACTCTGTAATGGATGTCTTACAGGGGCTCTCTAGGAGTCGTAGACTTCAACTCCTGCCTAGAAAGAATTGCCCAAATATGTTTCCTGTGACATAAACAGCCCCACCAGATCCTGTTTCTACCAGTTTCTTTGTGTAACCTTTAGCAGCCTCTTAACCTGTTACATCTGAGATAGACAGCTTCAGCTTTGCAGTCTGGAACAGGCTGGGCCTCATCTGCGGCTCCACAAGTCTCCAAGGACAACGCTCACCAGGCACTGACTCCTGAGCAGGCTCAGCGCTGGTCTTCCCTGACGTGACTGTGAACCAACTGATGTGCTGGAAGTACTATGGTCCCTCAGATACGCGTGCAATTAAAAAGGAAGAGACTGAGGATGAGTCCATACTTTTTTTTTCTAGGCTGCAAATAATTTCCAGAGGGTTTATACAGCCCCATGTCGATCTCCACCTCTTCCTCACAGAGTATCCAAACACTTTACAAAACAGGAGATCAGAGGAAGAAAAAGAGATCATTGAAGAAAATCCCAAAGGATGTGTCAGCAACACCCTGCCCACGACCTGTTCTGCCTCATCTCCACCCCTGGGCCACGCATCTGTTAAGAGGGCTGCAGGAGGGCTATCTTTCTTAGGTCTAAGATCACAGCGTGGCTGCTATCCATAAAGCAGGAAAGTGAGAGGGAAAGGGGAGGAGAGGGTGGCAGCAAATATTCTCCATCAGCTTATACTTTCATGCTTTAGCAAAACTTCCACTGATCATTCAAGGTGATGAGAAAGGCAGTGTGATCTGCTATCACCTGCCCCTGTGTCCTGTGTAAAGATTTAGACTGGGCTGTCAGAAGCCAAAGCCAAAGCCAGCTGGAGAGATAGATGGAGCTCTCTAACTTGATCTGTTTTGGCTTTACTTCTTCCTCTAGTCCCTACCTGTATTTTCCTTATGTGATTTCAAATAATAAAAAATGAAATTTCATTGGTTTGGGTGCCCATTATATTTGGGATCTGAGTGCATTGATATTACTCTTCATTTCTTCCTCTGAGAAGAGATGGCTGTGGACATAGATGGGGGGCATCATTTGCTCAGGCATGATGTTCAGTCCAGGTCTAGTGGAGCTAACCACGTGCCTTTTAGCAGGGAGCATATCACAGCTAGGTCTCAAGTGAAAGCTGACCCAGTAGCTGGGGATGGTTGTCCAGCGTGGCACATGCTGAAGGCCTCTCTCCAAACAGCATGATACTTTGCAGTGTGTTCCAGCCAAGTGGATTAGGCTGAGAGAGATGGGCCAAAACACAAGGCCAGCCTTTAAACCTGCCGTCAGGGCACTCTCAATTTGGAGCAGGAATGGCTGGTATGAACAGCTGGCTGTCATGGGCACTGTCCCCGCTCCCCTGTCCCCAGACATCTGTGCCCAGAGCAGAGGCTCTCTGAACCATCAGTGCTTTCAGAGATTTGTAGGGCAAGGGAAGCAAAAGGGTCAAAAGATGCATGTGTAGGACCTTTGTTATTCCATCTCAAATTTATCATTTCTGTTGAGCCCACACCAAATCATTCCTTTCACTTCTGGCTATGCCCATTCCTCCTCACCTGCTCTGCTAAGTTTCTGGTTCCTCCACAAGGGATACATCATCCTTGGGGCCCTAATGCCCTCAGCAAAGGCAGAGCACAGAAGCCCATGTCCCCAGACAGTGCTCTATTCCTTGGGGATAAAGTTCCGAGAGGGCCCGCTTGATGCCCAGTCCCTGGAGGTGTTCAAGGCCAGGTTGGATGGAGCCCTGGGCAGCCTGGTCTAGTATTAAATGTGGAAGTTGGTGGCCCTGCCTGTGGTGGGGGGCTGGAGATTCATGATCCTTGAGGTCTCTTCCCACCCGGGCCATTCTGTGATTCTGTGATTCTGTGATTCTGCTCACTGTCTTCATCTCAGAAAGCCTTTAGACCCAAGGACCTCATCTCCTCTCGCACTACTGGATTCCAATAGATAATAATGAATAGCAGTGACTAGCAGCAGTGGTTTGTCACAAGCTCTTGTCTGTTAATCTGAGACCAGAAAATATTTGATCCCTGGTGATGTTTTCTTTCTCCCCAACTGCAGTTTGTTATATTGGGCCTCAATCTACATCCAACTCAAACCTGAGCTAAAGAATGTGTCACTGCTAATGTATAACCAGGGAGTGTGAGGCTGCGTGAGAACAGCACGCAGCACCCATGTGAGAACAAGCAGCAAGCATGGGAGGTAGCCTTACTGTGCTACTGTAGAGCATTGCTCTATTTCCTTTCCACAGGAACCTATCAGGAGACCTCAATCTGAAGCTAACTCCACACACAGCCACCTGGCTATCACACAGCCAAGCACTCCACGAGACTCTTCCCTTTTAGGTGCTGGTTTCAAATTCGCACTGCTAAAAGTGCCTAAGATTTGATTAGTGCCAAATCTGACACTAACCCTATACTATTCCGTATGGAATCTGTCTGGAAGGAAATTTAACAGGAAGTTCCCTAAATCCGTAAGCAGTGAGAACCTGGCATCAGAATTCGCTTCTTGATGGGCTAAGGCTGGATTTACTAAGTCTGCTGTCAGCCTCATCTTGCTTTCATTGTGTGATAAGCTGAGAGACACTGTGGCAAGTGGAAAGCATCTTCCAGGATGACTGTAATGAGCATGTATACACCAAAGGCACTTCTTGCATTTAATGACTGCAAAGGCATAGATATATATGGTCATTTAGGGGGAAATGCTACTGCAGTCCCACAGATAGCACATGTGTCAACCTGCTGCACTCCCTGATGCCAGCTAGTGTCACCAAGGCTTGACAAATTGACACTTGCTAGCAGTGGGCGAAGGCAGTTCAACTAAAATCCCCTTGGATCAGCTGAGGCACTCCAGCTTGTTGGCACTTGGCTCTGTCACACAAGGTCCGTGCTGCCTCCTCCCACTCACTGCAGCAACACTTCCTAACGACCACTGATGAACACAGTGAGGGTATTAGAGGAAATGAGAGTGGGTTTTTTGGCTCAAATGGTCCTAGCAGGCATCTCTGGAGGCACACAGACAGGACAGGAGCTCTCTCTGCATCCCATCTGCTGCTAGTAAAGGAATGTCCTGCTTACCATACAGCCCTTACACTTGCTGTGCTGCAGCTTCTGGAGCTGTGCAGCAGGTCAAACAGATACGGGATGTACCCTGCCATGTCCCAGACTGTGGTGTCTGCCTGGGAGACAGGACTGCTTGTAAGAACTCATGCACACTATAAAACCCACAATGGGATTGTGGAAGGACAGTGCTGGGAATCACAAGGCCTGGCTTCTGTCCCCAGCTCTGCCACAGCCTTCAAGCTGATGCTGGACAAAGCACATCCCTCTCCTGTGCCTCTGCCTGGGGAATCGATGCTCCTTTGACTTCGGAAGAGGAGAGTCAGAACAAATCCTTGTGCTCCAGGGACAGAGGGCCCCTGCAGGCTGAGGCAGATAGTAGATGAGAACACCATACTTGCCTGGCACATCAATGTGTAGTGTCAAAAGATGACATCATGGGATATGAACGAGCATTTACCCTCCGAAAGGGAAAATAGCAGAAGCATGCGTAACCATTTGCCTTTCGTGCCAACATATTTTCCTTATGTAAAGAGAGGCCTTGGCGGCCCTAAGGAGGCTGAGAGATGCCAGTGCTCCTCTGGGAAGGAGGAACTATCAGGCAAGGATGCCAGCATACCCGCCTGGGTAAATTTGTGCATGCACTTCAGGTTACAATAGACCTTAGTATCTGATAACAGAGACCTGCTGGAGTCTGGCATGAGGACAGAATGAATCAAAGGTCATGCCATGAATTCCAGTTATGCAGATAGGCATCTACAGCCAGAGGAAGGAGCTCATGAACAGCAACTGGAGACTGATGGGGTGGGCTGGAAAACAAAACTCAATTTGGGGATGACAAGTATGGGTCATTTTGGAGCCCAGCTAGACAACTGTGTGCATATATTTGCCATGGAATACAGGAAGATGTTTTTCCCGGTGAGTTCCCTGTGATCTGTGCCATTACTAGTTAAACAAAGTAAATACATTGCAGTAAATACACTAAATAGGTGCCACATGTCGTTCCACTGGTCTCTCCTCGGTGAAGAAGCTGATTCATGACAGAAATGGGCTCACTAGCAGATAGGCAGAGATACAAACATGCAGCGTGTATCTTACAACTGAGAACCAATGTGATGTAGCACACTGTTGTCCTGACCACTGCCTGCCTTCGTCTCATCGTCTCATTGCATACTGGAAGTCAGTCTGTCACTACCACTTGTCTTGTGCCTTATAGCATATCCTGGGTACATAGTGCTCAGTGGTGCACACCAAGGTCTGAGCAAGTTCACACAGAGTGGGACTCTGCACCTATACAAACATGGTGTTCCCACACAGCCTAATGAAAACAGAGTTTAAGGTCCTCAGGCATCCCAATGGTTGGAATGGGATGGGATGGGAGGGAGTGGGAGGGGAGGAGATAGGACGTGATGGAACAGGACAGGACACTACTGGATAGATTCAGAGAGATGCAGCATGGGGAGGGACAATTAAAGCTGCTAGCATATGTCATCATCAGAGCAATTTGTTTCCTTGTTCCTCTGCAGGAATGCTACAAGCACACTTGCTAGTTATGTGTCAGGCAGCGACAGAAGCTACTGCTAGGAACTGCACTAGGCACTGATTTGTAATGACTGACCAGTCACCAATCTGGATCACTGAAGGCTTTCTCCAGACTCCTGGCAGACCGATGGGAAAGAGCTCTGAGTCCAGGGAGGTTTAGCTTCAATTTCACAGAGCTAGAAGTGAAACTCCAGGTGCATAAAACCTCATCCATCCTGTAAATACAGGGAAACTGGGCTAAAACTGATAAATTTGAGCCTCAGAGAACAGATTAAATCACCCAACTAAATCAGCAAGCAGGAGAGCTTAGATTTAAATATTAATTCAAAGCTTTTCTCCATTTATCCTTCTTAATTATTTTCCCTAATAAAAGGTTGATACTCATCAGGCTGTAACCATTAAGACTGTTGACTTCGAACCACGCACAGCCTGCATACTAACTTTGTTATTCACTGTTAACAGTAGACAGTTTTATCTACACGTATTTATTTACAGCTTTACATGTTTTTATTAGGTCTTGATTATTGCATTTTTCTATCTGGAAAATTGCGCATTATTCATTTCTAATTTATTATGGGACGGCTGTTTTTCTTTAGAATTGATTTATATCAGGTTGCATTTAGAATGAAATTTGAATCCACTAAGATGTCGAAAACCATTTTTTATTGAACTCTTAAATTTTTATTACTTCAAAAACCACATTAATTGCAAAACAGAAAATAAAAAGTAATACTAAACAAAGAAAGTACTGTCAGTGGCTGGTGGGTTAAACAGGTTGTTCCAGGACACCATATACCCCAACATTTCATATCTGCTGGATCTTGTCCTCTCGTCCTTATTTTCCTTGTAAACCAGAGGGGAAAAACAAGCTTGTCTGCTTTTTCCAAACCTCACACAGTTTCTCAGCTTTGAAGGAACAAGCCACTGAATCTAAGTCTTTGAATAAACTGAAATGGAAAAATAGCCATACTCACGGAAGAGTTACAGTACTCAAAAGTGGATTTAGCACTTACCAAGCTTTAGTTCCAGATGCTTAGGCAGTGGTTTGGTTCAACTTTGTGAAATGCTCTGGCAGGAAGCACGTGTTATTCGATACTTCAAACAAAACAAAAAGAAGCTCTTTATCAAATATACCAAAATTCATTCCCCGATACAGATTGCTGTTGCTTCACATTTAATTTTCATTTTCTTTCAAAAGAGAAAAAAAAAAAAAATTTAAAAACGGATTTAAAGTCTGTAATTGATACTTTATGTTGTCTGAGTTGGATGTTGACAATAGTTTGGGCCTTACCTTCCTGCCCAGGGATCAGACTTCTTTAAGCTGCCGTTAAGAGACTGGGGGTGCCTTCAGCATCACAAGGCACTATCCAAGAGACTATGTTTCCAGTTGGGAATTATAAGCTCCCCCAGCAGTTCCCTCCTTCATCTGTTTTTCGTGTTACAGTCACGGGGGAAGTCTTTCCATACTGTTGTGTTACAGGAGAAAGAACCTGGAAAATATCAGCATAGCCTAAATCGACGCTGAGATACCTGCACAGATTGGCGAGGCACCTGCACTCACAGATCCCATGCTCCCAACCACTCTCCCCACCCCAGGCAGGAGGTCCAATCCTGTAGGAAAAGGGAAGCTTCTCCATGTGGGACACTATGAAAAGGTTGGCACATCATGATCTGCATGGTCATAATATTGCTCTGTTATATTTTCAGTTGGCATTACTGTCCTGTTTCCAAAGTGTCTTGACTGAGGAATCTCTTATAGTGATTTATACTTGGCACTTCCGTGATAAAAGCTTTCCCCTGCAACTCAGCTTGACTTAAGACTCCCCTCTTCTTCATGCCAACATCACTTCACCAAAGAGTCTCATCTCCTTGCTCTGGCCTCTGTTTATAGTAAATGCTACAGGAGACATGAATGGAGGATCTTTGTGCCAGTCACCTGTCTGCTACTCTTCCATTGCTAGTGCTTGGTTTATTGTCTTGCCTGGTGGAAACATGCATGTAATCAGGAAGCAGAATTGTGTTGGGGTAAGATCTTCCTATCTGCTTCACTGGCTTTTCAATGGGATGAAGCTGTGTTCTGCCAGCTGAAGATCAGGACCTGGAAAACAAGACCCAGTGGAAAGACTGCACGGGAGAGAAAAACTGGGTTTCTTAAGAGGTTAGCTAACACTGCTTTAGCTAAAGCCCACCACAGCCCAATTTCTGCAGGCTTATGGCATGTAAATCTTGGATTAACTCAATATTCAGTAGAGCTTTGCAGTCCACCCACAACACTTCCCAGTGTGAAGAATTGGGCCTCTCATGAGACTCTTTGCAGAGTTTCTCCCAAAGCTCTGGATATCCTTTTCCAGAATGGGATTTGTAAGGGACTCATTATGAGCAGGACACTAATCTGCTCCTCCACTGTAGCATGTGGGGAAGAGAATCTCAGATGGCCTCCTGCTGCATTTGAACCCTAGCTGTTTCCCAGGATAACCTGGTGGATACAACAGTATGCGGCCATCTCAGCGCAGACCCCAGCATTAAACCATTAGAAGTATTACAGTGTTAGGTTTTCACAGATGTTTTTCAGCAAAAGAATAAATTTTAGTTATATTTTTTGGTGGAAGAATATATCCTAAATGAACTTAAGCAGATGAGGTACTACAGAAAACCAGTGCTGAAAAAACAGCCAGTCACTGCTCTCCTGAAGTCAATTCCCACATTAAGACCCACGAGGGAGGCAATGCCAGCTGCTCGGCCTCTCAAGAAATCATGGTGCCCACAGTTCTAGATCCCATGTTCACTGTTGGTTTGTTTTTTAATGCCTGCAAGGTCTTCTATTTGCAGCTCACTCTAGGCTCCTGGCTAGAAGAAACCATTAACCATGTCTGACTGCCTCCAAGCAGGATGGAAACAGAAAGGTACGGAGGGAACATTAAGATCAAATCCCTGAACATAAAAGGAAATTTAATGCCAAAAAAAAATTGAAAAGTGGAACAGCATACCTCATGTGCATCATCGATAAAATATTTTGCAATCCTGGAAAACTTAATAGTTTCTTTGGTACAATCTTTATGACCTTAAAGGAGCGATAAGGAAGGTAATAAAAAACTGTTTCTGAAAGGTTATGCTTTTTCCTCGACAACTCGGTTTTTCCTTCTCTTCTCCAAGGCTAACAGTCAAAAGGGAAGCTTGGCACATACGGGCTGTGTCAGAACATGGAAGCCGTTTATTTAACTTCTCCCAAGACATCACCTACACAGCCTTGTGGAGCAGGGCAGGAAAGGGAGCCCTGTGGAGTGGCAATGGCATCTGAGAAGTGGAGGGTGCATAACTCCAACTGCTCAAGTTTATTAAAACAAAATAGGTCAGTGGAGTTGCCCAGAGGGTTACGTAAGGCGGAAAGTAGCACTCCACAGGAGAGGAGAAGGGAGCCTGTTAAAAGGCAAAGCCACTCCAGTTTGTTTATGGCCAGAGATAACTGCCCCGTGCGTGTCTGCTCTCCATAGCCGACAGAGTAAATCACACTTTTTATCTCACAGCAGATGAGAATTTGAACTGGGCTGTTGTTTTGCGAGCTGCAGAGTAAAGCGAATGGGGCTGTTATTTATTATGACTAGCATTATTATTTTGTCCATGCGGTCCCTACATTTCAGTCTGTATGTAGAGAATTTCATCACTTGCCAATAGCTTGCTTGCAGAGAACGTCAGGGGGAATAGTAATAGAAAGAATGAAAGCTTGATCTTACCTGAAAAGCATATATAAGAAAGGTGAATTGGTAGATGTTTACAGGCATGGGAAGCAAGTAAATGTTCTTTGACATCCTGCAGAGCAAAGCTGGGAGCAAACACTCCCACCCCAGCCCAGAGGTCAGGGCAGAGGTGGATAGAACATCTGGCAATGTAGAAATGCTCTGTGGCCTGCTGATACACCTGTCCCTGGCACCACAACCTCCCACTGTTCTGCTTGCTCGCTCTGTGCCAGATATCCAGACCTTAAACATTGTTCACTCTATCTCAGCTCTCCAGTCCATAGGATGCATGGGGTAGGGAAGTCCTGGCTTGCAGAGATGTCAGGCACCCTGAAGCACATCTCAGAGAGGGTACACTCAGTTTTGGGGACTCCAATCCCAGTCTCACAAAAAATGATATAGAGAACTGTTGGTACCATGGAAAGCACCTAACATTATTTGTCATATTTCCAAGGCTGTCATAATGAATTAGTGCTCTTTGCTGATTTTCAGACCATCAGACCTGCACCATCCTGCAACTCCTGGCAGCTTTTGAATGGACCATGACCTAGGAAGCTTCCTGGCAGCTCCATGAACAGGTCCCTGGGAGAAAAATACAGACAGCATGTCATTGAGCCAGTTGCTTTGAGAGCTAATGAGAGAAACAAAGGATCTTCTTCTTCCATGGGAAAATGCTGTCTCAACAAAACCTACATTTTTCATAGGGTTACATCAGTTCCGATGGTAAGCCCAGATGCAGTGTAGGAAGCAGGTGGTTATTTTTATTTTGGAGGAAGGTGGAGAACTGGAGGACAGAGACATGGAACAAAGGTTCCAGTCAGTCCACTAAAGCAATGTGAGATGAGAGAGCAAGGTTCGCTCTGCCTGATCTAGACCAGGGCTGAATCTGTTCAGTTGTTTGGTCTCAGCAAACACGTATGTGCTAGATAATAGCTAGAGGCAAGAGGAGAAAGGTATCTCTCCTTTGTATAATTTCTGCAAGACGTGTCTGAAAAGGCTCAGGTTCTTCTCGTGTCAGAACAGCAGCAGTTCTGACACTAGGTAAATGCCTGTATGTGAGGACTCAGCTTTAGTCAGACAAATGGTCTGCACCTCATCTTCATCCTTCCAGTTCACCAAGCAGCAGTAGCATCTTTGACATACATCAGGGCTGTGTTCCTCAAGGACCAAATGTCCTGGGACAAGAGTTGAGTTCTCTCCTCCACTCAGAACTCTTTAGTGGCCACACTCCGCCATGGCAGTGTGGAGCAGGGTTTCAGCTGGGACAGCACTGGCTTCCTATGTGCTACAGTGATTTACCCAGTGGAGAACCCTCCATCTGGAGCATGAGTAGAATGCTTTCACTCGCACTCAGCCCCTTCTGGAACAAGCCCACAGAAGCACTCTAAGTTCCCATTCCAACCCATCAGATAGGTGTCAAACTGCTACTGTCCTGTGCACCCAGCACATAAATACTGCTCTTCAGGGCTCTTCCCCTGATATGTCTGGCCCTATCTTGCAGGCCCTGGCTGCTGGGTGAAATACATTTTCTTTTGGTAGCAGATGCCTTTTTTTAGCTGGCTCTGCTCTTTTGCAGAGATCGCCCACACCCCCTGCAATTCACTCAGCAATCTTCCTTCCCAGTACCTCTAGAAGCAAAGGGGATCAGTTATGCATTTTTTTTTTCAGTGGGCCAGGCTCTGGCAAAGTGGAAATCCTCTTCTGGTGCAGCAGTTCTGCTCTCTTAGCCATTTCAGTGGCTGGTAGGGATATTCATTCCTCCTCACATGTGACTGGGAGTCTTCATTCCTGGGAGGGAAAAGCCCAGCTTGAGTTGCACGCTCCAGAGTGTTACAGGCCTTTGAAACCGCATTTTCTAGTCCTTCAGCTTCTCACAGGCTCAGAGGCCAAAATTTAAAGCAGGTCTGTGCTCTAGTGAGTAACTGATGTAATTACGCTCACTTGTTACAAGGGGAAGCTTTCACAAGAGGGGGGAGGCGGTGGCCCCTCGCCAGGAGGTGTGTCCCCGATGACAAGCCGCAGAGCCAATCGCAGGCCTGAAAGATCATCACATTCATACCAAAAAGAAAAGAAACTGCCCCAGGGTATTTATATTGAGGAAGGGAAAAGAAAAGGAGAAAAAAAAAAAAAAAGAGTTGGCAAAGAAAGAGAAAAGGAGACTGAGAACCTGCAACTTTGTTAACTAACTCTGCAGTTGAATTCAAAAAGGCCAGGCCAGTTCCCTCTGCAAATCTCGTTTCCCCTTGAAACATCTCTGGAATCGATCTGTAAGCTGGAGCGAACAGTTCAGCTGCCTGAAGCAGTCCCACAGCCTGCGGGCTGCCCCATGGGTGGGCAGCGCTCCTCCATCACAGCTCTGGCACCCGTGGGCAGGCAGGGCTCAGCTAGGAGCCCCACCAGGTTAATGATTGCCTCTGTGGGCCCAAGTGGGCTCCGAGCTCTCTGTATCTATGTCAAACCACTGGGGAAAGAGAAGGCAAGTTTAGTTTTAACCAAGAGGTAAACAGTCAGCATTTACAAATGCTGAACCACCAAAAAACAGGCAGTCACAGGTTATTTATTCCACTTACACAAGAGGACCGTGCGGTCCAAAGGATGAGGGGCCTGCATGGGTGCAGGAGGTCTGTTTTCTGCTGCACAAACCGGGGCAAAAGCGCTTCCTCTCCTCTGGCTCTGCTCGTTCCCTGCCCTTTCTGCTGCCGCTCCTGTTCGGACGGCGTGTTCCCCAGGGTACAGGCTGTCTCCGAGCCACTCACAATGGGGCTGTAATCTAACCTCAGTGCGAACAGGCTGACATTAATAATAATAAAAACGCCCATCACTCTTCCGAGCAGCCTTCCCCCACTGACTACCAGGGAATAACTCGCAGGGCAGGGCGCTCGCTGGGCTCCCCTCTGCCGCCACCGGGCCCAGCTTCACGCTGCGTGCCGCCACGCGTCGAACGGCTGACGACACAGGAAGACTGAACCGGCACACGCCCGCAGCTCCAGCTCCGAGCTCTCCGGGCCCCGCAGAGCGGCCGGGCGAGGCGAGGAGCACACCGGGCTTCCTCGACCCCCGCACGGAGACGCCGTGCCCGCAGCGCCGCCCGGGGCCGGGCCGAGGCGCGGGGCTGCCCTGCCACCTGCCGGCACCGCGGGGCCGCGCACCTCCTGCGGCACGGCCCGGCCGGGAGCCCGAGCGGAGGACTGCTGGGCCCCCGGGCACCTCCGCGTTATCGCCGTGTTGGCCGTGACGCCGAGCGGCTTCAGTGCTGGCCACGGAAAGGCCTGGAAGAGGCTGTGCCGCACCGCGGAGCTCACGGGAAACTCTTGGGTTTGGGTTTTTCTCAGCGATTGTGGGTCACGCTCTGCTTTCAGCGCTGAGCTTTTGTTCCCGCTCCTCCCCACCTACCACACCATCATCCGACTGTGCGACGATCTGGCCACCCCGCCCCTCCCCTCGCAAAAAAACACGAGACCGGAGGAACTCCCCTCCGTCCGCATCCGAGCGAGGTGGGGAGGAGACCTTTCCCATGCTGTGCCGGCTTTTCAGCGGCGTTTTGCTACAGCGCTGGAGTATCTCTTTGGCTCCAACCCAGACAACTGGTTTCTGTTGCTAACCAACTGTTCTGTGGTGGCCATGGTGTGTGGTCGTCTTGGGATGGGCAATAGGCTTCCTCTAACATGCATTGGAACTTGGGGGTAGGATGGAGGCGAGCAGCCTGCTGACATCTAAGTGGTGGCTTTCAGGCCAGGCAGAAGCTTCAGGGGCTCAGCAAGGTGCCCCCTTTGCCAGAGGCGATGATCCCTCTGAAAGATGCAGATCCTTATAGAGGTGCCCATCTTGTAGCAGCTCGGAAGAGAGCTCGTGTTCAGGGATGCCATGCAAACCCCCAGATTTGCTGCCAGAGCTGCCTGCCCTTTGTTGAATGCACATCTCTGAATCTCCGACCATCACCCACTGATGACTGCCTTGCAGTCCCTTCTCCCCTTTTCCCCCTCTACTTTCAAGCTGCCTCCCTTTAGCATGGCTCCCCCTTCTCCTCACCCTGACACTATAGCTCACTCCCCTACTTGCTAAAGACCACCCATTGCCATGGTAACATTGCCTCTTACAAAGTTGTCAAGCAGACACAAAGATATGTTTCTCTCCTGCTTTGCACCCCCCTTCCAGCCATCCTGATTAATAGGGCAGGACTCTGCTTGTAAGAAGGAGGTGGAGGGCTCTTTCATTTCATTTTCATTGTGGAGGGAGAGGTTATTCCAACCTTGGCCCTGTGAGTGCTGAAGCCTAACACAGGGGAAAAGCTCTCATTCATGGACCACCTGGAAGCCCTTAGGGCGGCTGTACCACAGGCTCATACTGGTGATACACGTACTGGTGATACTGAGCCAGCATGGGGGATCAGTGTCTGCAGGTTAGAGGGGCCAGGACCATGGGAGAATGTAAATATGGGAATTAAGAAATGTATCTGATCCTCTGTGAACAGAAAATAGCTCTGCTGTGATTCCTTTCTGCTGTTCCCTCCCTGAGTGGCTCTGGTTGTCTTCCTGAAAAGATTTTTTCAAGTCGTGGAGATGCAGCTCACTGGCCTACGTCCAGGACTGCTGGCAGCCCTTGCTACCGCAACTACACCACCAACACTGGTGTTACTACCTATGCAGCAGCACTGGCTCCAATTTAAATCTGCTGTGTGTACATCCATGGCTCACTGCAGTGTGGCCGTGACTGACTGCACTAGAGATCATCGCTTCTGCTCACTGATCTCACTGGCTTTTCTTTCTCTTCTATGTACATCTGCCTCTCCACTAAAGACGGATTTGCCCCAGATCTTCGCAACCTTGAAATAAAACCTTTCCAGCTTACTCTTTTGCATGGCTTTTCCCCTCCTTCATTTTGGCACTTTTTCCACTTGAAATCAGTGAAGGCTCCCCATCTGTCTGATCCTTTTCAGTTTTTCATTCTTACTGCGTAGTCACCATCCCAGCCTGACACATTTTATCTTACCTTCTTTCAAATCCTCCACTAAGTCTTTGCCTTCTCCACGTGCTCCCCATCCCTGAGTTACCTCACTGCCATCATCACTGAACTTTCTGCCCCAACCAGTCTCTGCTTCAGCTCTCCATGATGTTTGTCTAGAGGTGGGTTTGTGGTCACAGTGCAAAGCCTTGGGCCACCATGCTGCTGTCAAATACTGTGTCTTGCCACATGCTACTGTAGTGTGTCTGTGCCAGGTTTTTGCATCAGAGCTGTGCACAGCAGAGCTCTGTGTGAACTGTGTCAGGATCTGTTTATAAACATGATGCTGAAGCTGTTAACTGTCCCAAAGCATGTGTGCATTGCAGCACCTGAGAATAGGCTTTGAGCATTTGTATTCAAAATAATGATGTTAAAATAAGAATAATAACAATAATATATTAAAAAAAAAAAAAAAAACAGATGGAGAGGGAGAAGATGCAATAGCATCAACAATGTCTGCACTTCTGGCAACCCTAAGAGACAAAATGGCGTTGGAAGGAAAGGGATTTTCTCTCCTTCCGCAGTAGAAGGTAGAATCTGAGATAATACTAGAGTTGCTGCCACTAAAACAAAGAAAAGCAGTGGAAACTGCTTCTGATATATGCACCTGGGCATGTCCCAGGATAAGCAACATATTTCAACAAAATAAAAATAAGCATGTATGGGATTCCAAGTATTAATTATATTTAATGAACTCCAATATTGAAGTCCCTCTGATTTGCTGCAGACTTTCCATCCTCTGAACAAAGGTTAGAAGGAAAATGATGGTAAATGATTCTGTAGCAACAATGGACTTTCCCAGAGAAAAGTCCACAGAGAGGAAAACACCAAGCCTGAAGTAGTGAGCAGCCACACCTGACCCTGCTGCTCCTGTCCCTGCGTGTTCCTTCCCCAGTGAGGAAAACTGTAAACTCAGCAACACCCATGACAATCAGCAGGGTCAAATCCAAACATGAATTTTGTTTGCAAGTCAGAGCTTGGCCTTAAATCCTTCTCTGGTCCACCCATCTTCCAACCATTGTTCTGGGCCAGCTGAGGAACCCAAATGTTTACCAGCACTCTGTCCTAGACTTCTGCTTACTCTCTTTTTCTCTACTACCTTTTTCCAGTCCATTTTTTTCCTGATTTCTCCCCATTACTCCACTCTAAGTGTCCATATGAAAGCAGCACCCACTCCACACTAATTTTACTGTCCCAATCCTCTCATTACTCTCTGATCTCCTTCACTCTGGAATGAAGGAAAAGATTGCCATGACAATCCACCTCTACCAAGGAGTGTTCATCCCATAGGATCTTACTTGAATGCCCTACCTTTGATGCAGGGTTCTGGTAAGCATCTTCTACCCCTTGTGTAGTCACAGGACACACAGACCTTAGCAAGACAGACCTTAGGTGGCCTGCATCATTTTCTGCACATTTGTCTTTCTCCACTGTAAAAGAGGGCCAAGACCTGATGGACCCCTCCTCTTGTTTTCAGAGGCATGAATTAAAGCTTAGCTGGACACCATGTTATTTTCCCACTTTCTTCTTCCTCCCTAAAAGCAGACCACAATCCCACTAGAAAAGCCTCTCAAAAAGTTGGATACATTTTCTTCCCATCCCCCTGTTATTGCTTGTCTGTCTACTCAAAGGCAAAGTCTGGGTAGTGGACATTCTCCCAGGGCAGTGAAGTTCGCTGCATTCAGCTGTAGCTGCTCATTCTTAGGAAGGACATACAGGATCTGTAACTGACCCAAACAAGTTCTGCTCTTTTGCTTACCAGCTCTAGCTTCTTTGGAGCAAACCATATTGCCTTAAACTTGTGGACTACCTTTGTGATGCACACTGGATAAACCTGAATCACACAATCTCAGACAAGATGTCATGGGGCTCTCGCTGCAGAGGTAATGCCAGCCCTTAACTGCATGATACAGAGCACCTGGGCTGCTTGGGAGGATCACAGTCCCTTTTGGGCTGCCTTTTTCTCCACTGATTCTTGTAGCACTGCTACGACCGAAGGAAAGTCGCTATTACAAAAAGGCACATATCACAATGTTCTTTCCTTGACAAGCTTGCCCTATCCTATCTTGCTCCATCAAGCTGCCAGCCATGATAAGACACTTTGTCCCCCCTTGTGATCCTTCTCCCTGTCATTCCTTACAATTCCACACCACTGACTTCCCCAGAGCTGCCTTCCTTC